CAAAAAAAAAAAAAAAAAAAAAAAAAAAAAGCATCTAATCTAATTATATAAGATTCGTGTTTTTAATGAAATCAATAACCCTCTCTCTATACCTACATCTAATCAGAGAAGATTCTGATCATTCCTGTCTGTTTTCACGTGGAGTTCCTTGTTTTTCTAAATCATTTAAGTTTTTCATCTCTGGTCTAACTCAAGGTCTCCTAGCTCTCTGAATGTGAATATTAAACTGCATAACATGATCCATGTAGAGATAAACCACAGTGTTACAGGAGGAAAAAAGGAGACATTTTCAGTTTGGATCATCTTCCAGTGATACCAACACTATGCTGGGCTTTTTGGTCCCAGAAACACAAGGCAAAAATGTCTTCAAGAAATAATCTACAGTCAATTTTTTTGCTATAAAACCGAGACCCTTGAAGGCATCCTAAAAGTACGGTTTGATCTTTTCCCTAAATGTATTACCTTAGGGTCCCCCCCCCACGTCATAACCCAGATGTTTTTAAGTTCATTCTCATGACCTTGTGAGCTCTCCTGCAATCAACCCCATTCGCTCACTTATTTCAGCAGAAGGAACAGGGGCCACAGACTCAGACAGACCTGCTTTCGACCTTGGCTCTAACACTTTTTTCATGCTTTGTGATGTTAGACTGGTAACTTAACTAGATAAAGTTTCCCCGTTCCCATATATCCATGGAGATAAGGTCACCTCTTTAACTGGCGTGGGACATTAAAAGAGAGACTTGTTTTCAAAAACAAATTTAGCACCTGAAACATATCTAGTTAACGTGAGTGCCTCTCTCCTCGTAGGGAAGCTTAAAAATGACATACCTTCCTTATAGACGCACCGAAAAATGTTCAATAAGGTCAAGCACAGTAACAGTACTTTGTGAACTGTTTAAACAGTTTCCTACCCCTAAACTTCTCATTCATTAAAAAAGATCCAATTTTACCAAATCCCAAATTAATTTTTAAATTATTTTGTCAATGTGAAAAAAGGCAGGTTTTTTTTGCAAGTTTCAATAAATTACACCTGCTCATATCTCCCTTATTTAAAGTCATACTCAGTAGACATAAAGTTTTTCTCATAGGAGTTTAACTGCTTTTCCAAACACGCCCCCTTGTTTAACCACTCCAATCTGTGCACACAGCATATCCCCGACCTGAACGCAGCCGCTGTTCTGTTAGGGACTTGCTTCTGCATAGGGATTGACAATGGCAATCCTGCCAGAGGCTAGAAACCTTCCATTCTATTTCTTGAATTTTACACATTCCTTTGGAATTCTAGGGTAGATGCATTCAGCTCTGGAATTCCATGTAAACGCCCTACTCAGCAAAGCCTCATTGTACACTTGCCACCCTGTGAGCCAAGAAAGCTTTTTTGTTTTTTTTTTTTTTGAGTTGGAGTCTCACTCCATCGCCCAGGCTGGAGTGCAGTGGCCGCTCCCGGCCATAGCAGCCTCGACCTGCTGGGCTCCGGCGATCCTTCCACCTCAACCTTCCAAGTAGCCGGAACTACCGGCGTGCATTACCACGCCCGGCTAATTTTTGATTTATTGTAGAGATGAGGGCTCGCCAAGTTGCCCGGGCGGGTGTTGAACCCGCGGGCGCAGGCAATCCACTAGCCTCAGCCTCTCAAAGTGCTGACATTACAGGCTGAGCCACCGAAGAAAGCTCTTACCAAAGTGCTCCATTGGGTTATTAGGTGCCCCAGGAAAAAAAAGTAAGTGGAAAGGAGGAGGAATGTCTACGGTCAAACAAGTTTAAGAAACATTTGGTTTAATTAAGCTGATTTCCTGTGTCTACTTTTTTTCCTTAAGAGATGGAGTCTTACTATGTTGTCTAGGCTAGGCTCAAACTTCTGGGCTCAAGGAATCCTCCTGACTCTGCCTCCCAAGTAGCTGGGACTACAGGTGTACCAAATAACTTCTTTACTACAGGAATTGTTAGAGCAACTACTTGATGTAACTACTGAGGTAAGAGGGTGGGAAAGCCCTGGGGGCTGCATTATTTTCCACATATTCGACTTCAGAACTCTTATGGAACTTCCCACGGGGCAAACATTCCTCAAAAAACATTCTGGAGCCAGGCACTGTGGCTCATGCTCAAAATCCCAGCACTTTGGGAGGCCAAGGCAGGAGGACTGCTCGAGCCCGTGAAGTTTGATACCAGCCTGGGAAACACAGTGAGACCTCATCCCTACAGAAAATTTAAAAATTAGCAAAGCATGGTAGTGTGTGCCTGTAGTCCCAGTTACCCAGGAGGCTGAGGCAGGAGGATCGCCTGAGCCCAGGAGGCTGAGGCTGCGGTAAGCTGTGATCAAACCACGGCACTCCAGCCTGGGTGACAGAGTAAGGCAAAGGGAGGGTGGAGGGAGGGGAAAGGGGGGGTGGAAAGGG